GTGGAGGTGTGTTCTGATTGGTTAGGGAGCTTGGCTGTGCTCTGATTGGATGGGGGGTTCGCTGTGCTCTGATTGGATGGGGGAGTGTTCTGTTTGGGTGGGGGCTTTGTTGTGCTCAGGTTAGTTTGAGTTGCAGGGGGATTTGAGATGGTGAGCTTCATTGCTGTTGTTTGGCTTCGTGTTCGTGGTCGTGCCACAATCAGAACACAATCAGAACACAATCAGAACACACCTCCACCCAATCAGAACACAGCCAAGCTCCCACCCAATCAGCTCCAACCCCACTGGCAGTTAAAAGGAAGAAACAGCTGCGATCACATACCACTCTTAGAAGCACGAAGCTGAAGACACCAGCCTGAAGATGACGAATGTGACTTCGTCGAAACGTCGCCAAGAAACTTCTAATTCTACACGGGAGAAAACCCGAATAACTAAAGACCTACATACAAACACCCGCGAAAACCTCAGAAAACATATATATATATATATATATATATATATATATATATATATATATATATATATATATATATATATATATATATATATATATATATATATCAAAAAGTTTGTTGTGAAGCATAGCACTAAAGCCAAAGATTAGTTCAAAACTTAATTCCAAAATACAGATGTTGTTTTTCTCTAGCTGCCTGCATATTTTCTTGCCATCCAGACTTTTATTATTGTATGTCTTCTACAGCAGCGGTCTCCAACCTTTCCCGCTTGGTGGACCGCTGGAGGCAGCCGTGGCAGCAGCAGGGGGGAGGGGGAATGGTTTCACATGCACGCACGCTCTGCTTTCACAAGTGCAGCTTTCAGAATGCGTGTGCACACGTATGCTCACTCACCGTTTCCGCGGCCCAGGTCCAAATTGGCTGTGGCCCAGCACCAGGCCACGGACCGGGTGTCGGGGACCCCTGTTCTACAGCATTTCTTCCATTCATAGTGTGGGCATCTACATAATGAAGCTGATCACCACCATTTCAGGCCACATGGCAATCTAATCTAATTCAGGTTCCTTCTAAGGCAGGGGTCTTTAAACGTGGCCCTTTTATGACGTGTGGACTTCAACTCCCAGAATTCCTCAGCCAGCATGCCTGGCTGAGGAATTCTGGGAGTTGAAGTCCACAAGTCATAAAAGGGCCAAGTTTGAAGACCCCTGTTCTGAGGCAAAGGATGAATACTGGAGTTTGTGTGGTGTTAGTGTGAAAAGAGGTCTTTGAATTTGCACAGGTTTGGTAGTTAATACATTTAACAAATATTAACAAAATGTGCCATAGAATCTTCTGGGTGCTTAGAATACCAGAGATGCCTGTTCATTGGAATTCTAAAGATTTGAGAGTTCCAAAGAGCTTTGTATTTACCATCACCTATTTTATAAGTGTTAAAAAGAAAAAGGAGGAGGCGCCAGTGACAAATAATTCTTTACATATATCTGCAATTTTTAAGGATATATCATTTCCTGCCTGAGCAGGGGGGGGTTGGACTAGATGACCTCCAAGGTCCCTTCCAACTTTGTTGTTGTTGTTGTTGTTGTTGTAAGAATTAGGTTTTTTTATCCTGGCAGCAAGAATCTGTTGTTCTGGAAATGCTTTAGTTTTCCAGGATGGAACCCTTATGTTGCTATATTATCCTTCTGAAAACTGGTATTTTATAGTAAAACTGAGCTAATTTGTTGTTGTTTTAATCACAGCATGGAATCTCCATCACCTGCATTCATTAGCAAAATCTACTGCAGACCAAAGTCCTGTAAGTTTGTTGTTTAATATTTCTTTGAAATGATCATTTTTTTAAAAAAAGCATCCAACATTTGCTCAAATCTCATTTGCTTTCCCAAATATTGAAGAACTGAATGAGCTGAGATTATGCAAAGCTAGTGGGGAATAGCATCAAAAACTTGTGTAATGCTCTTTAAAATTATGTTAATTCAGGTGTATGAGTACTGAAAGCAAAAATAAAATAGAAAATAACATTAAAAAGAAAAATAAACCCCGTGTTTTGTATTTTGCCTTTGCAGTTTTATCCAACTCTGACATCACAAATGTCCCAGATGTGGCATCAGGAGCAAAAGATTTGACGAATAAAATGATCCATAGTGGAAGCAGTTTGGTAACTGGACTTTCTAGAAGTCACAATGAAAATGAAGCCCTGACTGAGACTTCTGTTGCCAGAACCCACAGTGAGACACATGACAATATTCAAGAGGGCTCTGGTTTTGGAAGTCCAAGTCACAGAAGTGCAGAATTGTTGACCTCCAAATTTTCCAGAACTCAAAGTGGAGAAAGCAGTCACTCCTCTGGACGTAGATACTATAGCTCTAGAAAAGAAAGCGTACCAGTTGGTTACCAGTCTCAAAGCCAAGGCAGCAGAGAGTTTACAGAGAATGCT